GCGATTTTACTAAATCCTTAAATAGTTCTTCAATATGAAAAATCAGAGCTTGTTCAGTAGTTGTCAGATACTTAAAACTGTTTAGAGTCCTACCACTTTGGAGACCCAAACCATTCACCGTACAGTTTTAGTTTCTCAGACTGCATTTTTTCCCAACAAATAAACTCTGTCCAAAGCACTTCAGGCCTTTCTCTCTGAGGGGTTGCTAGAGCTAGGATTTGAATAATGTTTCTAGTGCAGGGTAAAGATAGCAGCCATAAGGATTCTGGCAGTGGTGAGCTTGGAGCGTGAAACTCCTTTTGTTTGCAGGAAGTGCCTGATGCTGGCCAGTGCTAGGGAGCAGAGTTTGGGAGGGAGTTGTGAGAGCAGCATGCCTGTGTTTTCAGCCACATCAGGACTGTCTGCTTTGTTCCTACTGCTTTGAAAATCACCACTCATTTAATCACCTTGCCTGCAGGATTCTGAGTGAGGGATGGGATTTAGTTTCTGTTAAAAGGCAAAGATTAGCCTGCCCTGGAAAAAATATACTCTGAGGAATGGAAATGCTTTGGTAAATGGTGTGGGGTTTTGTGTTGATTGTGGCTGAAGCATTCTGAGCTGTTTGTTCTGCTGAGCCCTCTCAGGGCATGGGGGAGACTGATCCAATGGGAGGGATAGCTCTCCATCCTAACTCTCTCAGCAGGCAGCCCCATTGTGCACAGATTGTTTGGCTTGTCTTGGAAATGCATGTTAAATGCTCCTTTCTTTAAATAGCAGAGCATGGAAAGATCAGACTCTTTTTTTTAACTTTCTCCTTGTAATGGCTAAGTGGGAAAGGAACATGGAAAGGCTGCTCAAGATTTTTACTCCCTGGACTCCTTCTGAGATCACAAATGTGACTGCAAATTTCTATCCATCAGAAAAAAAAATTAGCAGGGTCGAAATGTTAGGCCTTTCAAAGAACATCCAGGTCCCTAGTGAAAATGCTTCTGCTTCTCTGTCTTCACCTCCGAGGCCAACTTCATCATTAGCTGCTTGCCATTCCCTGCTTGATATATTTTTTTTTTTCCCCTGCACTAGGCAGTTTGACAGCAGGCTGCCTAAAGAGCATCTGCTGACCCTTGTCCTTCAGCAAGAGTTGCCTTTGGGTACCTAGCAGTGATGAGCGACAATAGCCTCCTTGAAAGGGATAGAGCAGCTGTAGCGTAGGCCTGGCACCAACAAGCCAGCTGGTTTGATCTGTGGAGTCAGCGTAGTGCCCAGCATAGTGTCTACAGTGTCTCCTCAGCTGATTAGAATATACTCTGATGGGCGCCAGCATTGCTGGGAGACACTGTTTGCCATGTAATCAGCAAGGCTTTTGCTGCCTTCCTCTCATGCAAGATGCTTTGTCAGCTATGCCAGTGGGATAGCTGGCTACAAGTTCCCTGCCATCCTTGGTGGGGGGGTGGCGCAGAGAAAAAGGCTCCCTGCAGTAGATGGGTACTAGGGTCGTAACTTTGCTGCATGTAGGCTAAAAACGTTTTACCTCACTGCTGTGTCCTGAGATCGGGGGTGGCTGCACTGCGAGATCTGGGACCCCTCATTACCGTCTTTATAAGCATACCAGACAAGGCAAGGACCTTCTGGTTTGCTGTGCTGTCAAGCTGCTCTTTCCATCTCTGCCACCCTAAGTCCCGCTCAGCTTTTGTCTCTGGAGCACTTGAGAGCAACTGTAGGGAGCTTTGGCACAGGGGCTAAGGGTGAGCTCAAGCAACGGGGCATGACAGAGATGCTCTCTTGAGGCCCAGCAGAGCCCTTGAGGACTTCTGCTGCAGTCTGTGGCAGGGGCTTCCCTGTCACTGGCTAGACAGGCTGGGTTTTACCTTCCCCATCCTCAGTGTAGGCAGAGTGGTTGTATGTTAAACAGCTGTCCTTTTCACGGGCATTTGGAAATGGTGAGTTTAAAATGGAACAGAATCATCCTAATTCACAAACACTGGCGATCTGTAAACACCTCGTCTGTACCCCGTAGGGGCCATAAGTCTAAGGTCCTGGTCAGAGAAGATTTAAGCTGCAGAGTTGCTGCCCTGATGTCCAGGCTACTAAGATTTGGCTACATGTACAGAGCTTCCTCTGAAATTCTTCCTGTTAATAGGAGCACACTATTTTATTAGTGGTAGCAGACTTTCAGAGGAAAGTTGCTGGACCTGTTTTGTCATGCCTGGTTCAGTGAATGCTTACTAAAGGGCCTGGTTTGCTCCTCGGTGGTAGATGAAAATTAGTAATGTTGTAGAGGGCAGCTGGTATTAGGGCTTTGCTGTGTTAAAAAAAAAAACCAAATTCAACAGGTGCCTTTTGGGGTTTTTAATGGAGAGTTTGATTTTAAGCTGAGTTGGTCAGAGAAACAGTTGGTGGTCACGAGGTTGCTGGAGAGCCCCTGGGGTTGGGGGCTGGGCTCCACAATTTAAAAAGGATATGGAGAAGCTTGAGAGAGTCCAGAGGAGAGCCACACGCATGATCAGAGGTCAGGAAAACAGACCTTATGAAGAGAGGCTGAGAAACCATGGGACTTAGCCTGGAAAAGCACAGGCTCAAGGGGGACCTGGTGGCAGCCTATAAGTATATAAGGGGTGTGCATCAAGATCTGGGGGAACGCCTGTTCACCAGAGCGCCCCATAGGATGACATGGTCAAATGGTCACAAACTCCTCCAAGACCATTTCAGGCTGGACATAAGGAAGAACTTCTTTATTGTCCTGAGCCCCCAAGGCCTGGAACAGACTGCGTCCAGAGGTGCAAGCACCTACTCTGGACTCCTTTAAGAGACATTTGGACACTTATCTTGCTGGGATCCTTTGACCCCAGCTGACTTCCTGCCCCTGGGGCAGAGGGCTGGACTTGATAATCTCCTGAGGTCCCTTCCAGCCCTAATGTCTATGAAATGTATGAAATGTGAGCCTATTAATTATGAAATTCAGGAACAAAGTACTGCCGGCTCCTGTGCTGTAGATCAAGGTCCCAAACCTGCATGGCCCTGGTTGGCCAGTGAGAGCTTGGGAGGCTTTAAATAACTCGAGTGATTTCACTAATTATGGAGCACTAATATTTCATACCTACCTGCCTATCTAATGTTTCTTTTAGCATCACTGCTTAATATACAACCGTGCCACACCTTCTTTGGCTGTCTTCCACCCTTGGGTCAAGTGACAACAGCCCAACTGGCCCCAGACCTCCCCAAGGCTGCTGCAAGCCATGCAGTTTGTCTTGTCCCCTCTGACTGCCTCAGAGGTTACAAGAATTAAGCCTCTTTTTGTCTCTGGACAACAGTGAGTTTAATGGGCACCAAGCAAAGTGGCTAAGCCAGTGTGGGAGCAGGGTGACTGCAGAAAGAACTCTAAAGGCAGTGCTATTGGAAACAGACCTATTTATTGCTTGGTGCACACATCCAGTGCCCAGCAGCCATATTCAGAGGTGCAGCCAAGTTCCAATGCTCTCCCTCCCCAACCCTTCCCCAAGGTCTAAGGTGGCCTGCACATGACTTGGCACTATGTAGAATGTGATTTTTGAGGGACCTGCCCATCCAAGTTTATCTGAGTTGTCTACCTGTCTGTTTCCTGATCCCCATGACACCACGAGTTCCTTTGCAGATAGTGATAAGATTTTAACTCCTTCCCCATCTTCTTGAGGTGGGAGGAGCAAACGTTGCAGGGTTTGAGGGGCTGTCCCAGAACTCGCCTACTGCTGGCACCACTTCCAAACAGACTGTGCAATATGGAGGTGGCTGAGATTATTTTTGTAGCCCAGTCTGTTATCTATGCATAGATGCTGAAAGGTGTTCCTCCCCACCCCCTCCTTGAAAATCAGGAGATGCCTTTGATGGCAGGGGCTTTCAGGTTAGGTTAGGGGGTTTCCAGAGGCTCTTAGCTCTTCCACTAATCCAATCTAGTGAGAGGTCTTTTGCTCACCAGCAGAATTATCCTCTTTCCCCATGTGATTTAGTTGCTGGGAGCCTTGGGATGGGAGAGAGTCGCTTGCTGTGTTTATCACTTACCCTTGGCCTATGCTTTTAAAAGCGACTTGTGAATTTGGTCGTGTTAAGAAGCAGCCCTCTACAAATTGGGGCTGAAGGTGTTTACAGCTGGGAACAGGAGACCACCAGTAAGTTTTTTTGAAAATGCCAGCTTAGATGCCTTTTGTTCTGAGTTGGCATTGTTCCAGGGCAGGGAGGAGGCTTGCTTGTTCCCACACTCTTCTTGATTGATTACCTTTTTTCCTGATTGACAAGTGCATCCCTTTTTTATAAAGTCCTGGTCTGTATGTCCTCATGCTTCTATAGTCCCACTGGCAGTCTCATAGATTCATAGATTGTTAGGGGCTGGAAGGGACCTTGCAGATCAACAGGTCCAGCTCCTTTCTCTGGATCTGGTCTGCCCAACTCTTGAGCCTGTCCAGGTCTGTCTGTATCTACAACCTATCTTCTGACGTGACCATGTTGCCCCATAACTTGGTGTCATCCGTGAACTTGGCCAGCGAGCTTTTCACTCCCCCATCCAAATCATTGATAAAGATGTTGAAAAGCACCAATTCAAGCATGGACCCCCGAGAGAGACCACTGGCCACTTCGCGTCAGGATGACACAGATCTGTTCATGAGAACTCGCTGGGTCCTACCCTGTAGCCAGTTTCCTACCCACTGAACTGTTGAGCAGCTAAGCTCACAATCTTCCAGTTTTCCCACGGGAAAACTCAGCTAGTGTCCCAGGATTTGAGAGAGACTTGAAGTAGCATTGGGGCTTGAGCAGGGAATAAGGGTGAACAGGTTAATACTGTGCCATATGTGCACTGTTCCTTTGCCATAACTCTCTCTGCAGACCTGCTGCAGGACAATAGCCATGGTTCCCATAACATCCCAAGCCAAGTAGCACTCCAGGCGGTGCTTGACAGTGTCGTCAAATGCTTATACACCAAGAACATCGGAGACACCGGTACTGGGAGCCAGTGTGTGGCTGGAAGCTGAACAGCCACAGCTGGGTGACCCTGTCCATTGCATGACCATCCTTCTACATAGCAGAAAAGTTTGGGGTAGAGTGGCAACTTACGGCATTTCTTTTTTCTCTCTCTCTCCAGGTGCAGGAGAATCTGGGAAGAGCACAATTGTCAAACAGATGAAGTAAGTAACATCTCCCTTGATTTTGTTGTTTGGATTTCTGTGTCTGCCTCTCTCCTACAAGCCTGCTGCAGGAGCAACGGGTCCTATGTTCTGCGGATACTCTTAAATAGGTGATGTTATGCCAACGTGTGTGACTTCAACACCAAAAATGGCGCAGGCATTATAAAGGCTGTAGATTCCATTAGGCCCAGTAAAGGTACATCCATTACCAATGGCTGGTCTCTATTTTCTCAGAAATAGTGATTTTCATGTTGTTGATTGTTTTAAAATGTCTTTCCCATTTTGAGCGTGACTAACTAGGACAGTGGTGTGGGGACAGCAATCAGATGCAGTTTCAACCATATAGTAACAAATAGTTGTTTTACTAACACTGTATTAACACTGCATTTTCCCTGCCAAAGGCAGACAGCATCTTCAGAGGAGGAAGTCTGGTCACTTTCCTGAACACCTCCTTTCCTTTAGCCTCATGCTCAGAATGGTTTCCCTGTGCAGTTCTAAATGTAGTTTGGTCCATCTCAGATGATTGTTTGGTGGCCAGTTCCCTGATGGTTCAGCCATTGTGGAGTTCCCTGGCATCTGGGTTCTTGCTCATCTCCCTGGCCAGGACTGGTTATGCTGCTCTGGGAGGCAGGACACCGTATTAGATGCTCCTCTCTTACACTGGCTTGTCAGTCTGTTTGGTTTTTGCAGTGCATCTACCTCCTTTAGAGGAAATATTTTCTGTCCTGAGGACATGTCCAATGCTCTAATGAACCTTGCTCAGAGGCTGAGCCCATCTTGTGGGCTAAGAGCATTCATGGCAGAAGCATCTTGTCTAATTGCTTCCTAGTGCTGAGGCCATGCTTCAGCCTGCTCATCCTGCAGATGCCCCAGAGCCATCCCCTTTTTCTTTGGACAAGAGTCCTTTTTGAGTGCCTGCCTGGAAAAAAGGGGAGCTCTGTCCAGCTCAATTGTCTCCACCCTATCCTCTGCTCCCATTGCACTGAATGCTCACTATACACTGGACTGGTGGTTTGGTGTTGCAGTGTAGTTAGTGCGAGGAACTGCAGCAGAGGAGAAGGTGAGGGAAATGTTTATCTACATGCTATTTTTGCCTTTTAAATAAAGCTGCTCAGTTCAAGCAATCAAGTCACGTAAACCTAGTGGCACCTCTGCAGGCCTTTGCACAATGGCAAATTCTAATCCCATTCCCAGCTCCACAAGAGGTAAGGTGGGCACAGCCACTTGGAAGAGAGAAGAACAAAATAAAAGCCTTTGCTGCTTTTGATTAAACCTCCCCATGTAGCCATGCCATCTAATTTTAGACGTGACATTAATTCGGGCTGGTGTGAAATACTCAGCACTTGATTCATTCAGGCAAAACTTCAATCTCCTGGCCACCCAGGGCAAATTGCCTTCTGAATATTTCATCAATATGCAATTAAATATGGAGGGTAACATCAAAAATGCATCTGGCCATGATTACATAAAAAGGAAAAAACTGGGCTGGAAGAGGTAAAAGTGGGGAAATGGAAAGCACTTGTGTGTCTCCCTAATGGCTGGGACATACAGCACAGTGTGCGCCTAGCAGGAGGTGCTGTGTCCAGAGCTTGGAGCACGGCTAATTGCTTGCTGCCATGTTGCTTGGAGAGGTTTTGCAGCCTATGCAGAGCTCTGTGCTACTCGTGCCCAAGCTAGCAAGCTTTACAATCAGCTGAAGGGTTTCTGCACAAATCTCTTCCAGTGTAGAAATACACTGTTACAAATACCCAGCCAAGCTGTCTGAGATTGTGCCACATCCTCAGATCATCTGCTCTTACCCTGAAAGTCAATCCATGGAATAATGAAGGTGGGGTTTGGAGCTTCCTCCTTCCCCATGAATTGCTTTTGGACCCTGTGGATTTTGCAAAAGCAAACTGCACTTGTAAACATCTGCTATAGAGAAACTGAGAGACCCTCCACAGCAAAGAGGGAGGAGCCTGACTGCAGGAACCCCCTGGATCTGTTGGAATAAGCTTCCTGGGGAAACCAAAAGCCTCAACTAACAGCGAAGAAAGCTGATTCTCAGAGACCAGTCATTTCCAAGCCTTTATGGCTCGCAACACGTGGGAGCTTTACTTTTTTTGCTCCTGTCACTGTGGCCCTTATCTCCTTAGTATTTGATAACTTGGAAGGAGGACAAGCCACAGCTGAAGAACAGGCAGCTCCTCAGTGGACATGGCTGAAACTAAGCAGTAGGGCTTTGTGGTGGGAGGGTTTTGGACTGGGACTGGGAAGGGATGGGTAGAATTCCCAGCACTAGTGACCACAGTGAGGTAACTTAATTTTCAGTGCTTCAGTCCACTGATTTTTTTTTTTCTTTCTTCAGAGGGAAGAAGGGCAGGGGGTTCACAGGTCCATGGGTCTCTCTAGATTGGGGTGGGCAAAATCTGGCCTGTGGGCTAGATTGGGCCTTCAGTGGACTCCATTTCCCAGTGGCCCTTGTGTGTTGTTGCAGCCGGTTTCCATGGAGACTCCAGGAGCGGCAGGGCCATGACAGTGCCGGGCCAGGGTTTCCATGGAAACTGGCCCCCAGCAGCACTGGCAGGTTGCACAGCTGGGTGGGGAGCTGCTCTGGGGTTGGGATCTTGTGGCAGTGACAGTGTGGTCCAGAGCCAAGGCAGAGCTGCGATCTAGTGCCTGCACGCTGCAGGCAGGGGCATGGAGGCAGCGGATTGCAGCTCTGCCCTGGCTCCAGACTATGCCAGCACTGCTGCCGGATCCCAGTCCCAACCCTGGAGCAGCTCCCTGCTCAGTTGTGCGCCCTGCCAGCGTTGCTGGGGCTGGTCTCCATGGAAACGCAGGGCCCCGCTTTTTCTGGGGTTTCCATGGAAACCAGCTACAGTGATGCTGACAGGCTGCTGGGAAATGCAGTTTGGGTGCCAGTCAGATCCACCATTTTGTCCACCCCTACTCTTCATTGTCAGCTTTTTAGACCTGATGATCTCGTGTTATGTCTGTCCAGCACCAATGTAACTGGGCCCTGCCTTTGGTTGGTGCATCTATGTGTTCTTGTAATATAGAAAAAACTCATCAGAATCAAATGTAGTTAAATAGACAGATGCTTTATTACATTGTTTGTTTCTGTACCTCTTGTTAAGAGTGCATGTGAGGTCTCCTGCAGAATGGGAGCCTAATGTAATAGATCACTGTTAGATTAGCAGGGAGGAGACTAGAGTATAATAAGAGTGGCTGTAATGTTTCAAGAAAATGTTTCTGTCCTGAAGTGCTGCAGTCTGGCTGTTTTGGGTTTTTATGCTTCCCTTCTCTGCAGCGTCCTGGAGCTGAGCAGGTTCCACTATGTTGCCCTGTTTCTATTCTAGCATGTAATGCGTAGCAGCACTGCTAGGTCTTAAATATGAAATTATTATACTGGAAGCTGAAATAATCATTTTCTGGAAAAAAAACCCAACCTATTGTACACTGAAAAAATAAGTATGCAAATAAGTGTACCAATAATTCTTCTTTTTTAAGTAACACTATGTTGCCATATACTGTTGTCATCATACCCTGCACTACTCTACTTGATACTGTCAACTGTGAGGTTTTATTTAACTCTTTCTCTGATGGGCTAAACTGAAGTTTTTACTATGATTATTCCTTTCTCTTTGTTTTGTGATTGAGGTCTGTGTATTGTAAATCTTCTACACTTTATTTTGCAACTTACTGTATTGGGTACATGCCCGGGATTTACAAACGAGGCAAACACAAAACCCCTTTGACTTTCTATTGATTTAAGTCTGTATATAGCATTTAAAATAAAGCTGTTAGTATTGCACAATAAGATTTAGTTATGTGATCGTTTTGCAGTTACTTTATATTGCTCATTGCAAGTCTCCAGTTAAAGATAAATGGCAAATATTACTCATCCTTGTTTTAGTCCCTGTCAAATTCCAATTTAATTGAGAACTGGTGAGATCACGTGATCCAAGTAAGCTAATTCAGCTCTGATTGTCAGTGGAGTGATTTGCATGTTTGTGTTTTTCCCAAATTTTAATGACACAAAGTATCATACATTTTTAACACTTTCCTAGTATTATCTATCGTATATCATATGAGGGTTGAAATTATCCTACAGATATGATAATTATCATACACCTGGCAACACTGAGGCTTAGAAAACTCTGACAGGTAGCAAATCAACCTGAACTGATTAGCTGATGGGGGACCACTTTGCTGCTGCAGACAGAACTGACTAGCATCTGTTCAGTGTCACTACTCTGTGCCTCTTCGCAACCCTTTCAGCCACAGTGAAGCCAAGGGTTTTCTTTCAAGTATCTGCATTTGGGGGAGTGGGAGGAATGGCAAAAGACCTCAGTCCCCTGCTGCTCCTCTGGGATGGCTCAGGCCTGGGGATTCTCAGCCTTGCCGTTCCTAACTGGTCCAAAGGGGTTAAGGCCATGCAACCTTTCTTTTAATGGCAAGGTGGATGTGGGTGTGCCTGACGGTGATAACTTTGATTAGCTAATATGAAAGCTAAATCCAGATCCAGGTCTGGGTCCAGGTCCAGTCCTTGGGTAGGAAGTTGCTGTGCCCTGTGTTCTTAGCAGGGTGAGGATAAGAGTGCCCTGTTTTAGGCATTGCTGAGGGAACTCCCACCAGTCAGTATCTAGTACCTTTCTGCTCAGTTTTTCCCCTGAGAACTGGGCAGCATCAAAGGGCAGATGTTGAGCTCCCATGCTGCTTCTCAGCAAGGTACCTTTTTTTGGTGCCATGCTTAGAGGTGGTACCTGTATGGCAGGCAGGCAGACCTCCCCAAGGAAATGCCTCACCTCGGGATGCTTCCTGCTTTCTGAAGTGGGCAGTGTGTATTGAGCAAGCCAGGCTGGCTTCTGAAGATCCCCACTGGTGAGGAAGGCTGAGTGCAGTGTGAAGGTGGTTTCTGGAGGAACTTCTGACTTGTTTTGTGAAGAACTGACTCTGTTCAATTTCCTGCCCCCTCCTTGTCTTCCAGGATTATCCATGAAGATGGCTACTCAGAAGAGGAATGCAGGCAGTACAAAGCTGTGGTTTACAGCAATACCATCCAATCTATAATGGCCATCATCAAAGCCATGGGAAACCTGCAGATTGACTTTGGAGATCCAACAAGAGCAGTGAGTTGCCTTTTCTCCAGGCCCTGTGAAATTTCCTTCCTTTCCTTGGATGCTGAACCTCCTGTATGATGCGTTTCTGAACCCAAGGTTTGAGGGTTGTGTGATGGGTGGGAACTTTAAGTTGCTGGTCCAGCAGTCCCATTCAAGCTGACAGTAGTCAGCAGCAGTTGCTCTTAATAGACTTCTAAGTGTTGTGCATCTGTCAAGTGTGAAGCTTGCATACTGTAATGCAGCTGCTTGCAAAGCCCCAAGGGAATTCCCTCTAGCTGCCTCTGACCTACTGGATCCCAGCTGGAGAGGTGTGTCCCTACTGCATGGGGCTGGGATTCAGCATAGTTGGGCTTTATTCCTGGCTTCACCTTCTGTTTTCTGTGTGATGTGAAGCAAACTGTGTCCTGTTGAGTACAGATAATACTGAACCCACCTTTGGTGTTCTGAGATCTGCAGTGAAAGGAGCAGTAGCCAGTCTAAATGGCCTGGCTGGGATGCCTGCAGCATTGATTTGTATCCCAAGCAGCCTAGCAGTCCAACATCACTGAAGTTTTAGCAAAATCAGGTTGATGGGGATTAGGTGTTAACAGCCTGTTCCAAAAAGGGTGGGGCTCATTAAGTGGGTGCTTCCCAATCTCCTGCCATGCTTCCTCCTGCTTTGGTTAGATGGTGGAACAGCTTTGAGCTCCTCCTCTATCATAAGAGAGCCCAGTAAGATCTAATGAAGCCAGTCTCCTGTCCCAGTTTTACAAGCCTGGAGCGCTTAGGCTCTACATCAGGGGTTTTAAACCTTTTTTAAGGAGTGTACTCCCCTTTGGAGGGGGCGGGGCAGGAGGTGCTAAAGGCCAACTGGTCGTGAAGCCAGCGGCAGGGGGCGGGGAAGTGGTGCATAGGGGCGCAAAGTGGTGAATGGTGGGGGCATGGGGAGCTTGCACACGGCAACCACCATTCACCACTCCACACTGCCGCCGTATGCCACTTCCCCCCACCACCGTATGTACCCCCTGGGGCCATCCCAAGTACCCCCAGGGGTATGCCTACCCCTGGATGACAACCCCTGCTCTACATCATCCTCTTCTCCCTGGCTTCAAATCGTGTTCCATTAGTGAGATCCTGGCTGCTGACAGGTGCTGATAACCTGGCTTGAATCCTGTGGGGGTACTCAAGATTCTTTTGTGGTTGTTCTCTTGAGTAAGCCATTCTACGATCTCTTATTATCTCTCTGCTGGCAGGAGTGGTTCTGTTGCAGGAGACTTTTGCTAGCATTTGGTTTAACTTCAGCCCTACTTAGAGCAGTTTTGCTCACTGGCGTGTGTCTTGGAGGAACAGTCATGTCCATTGTAGCCTGATTTTTATTTATTTATTTTTTGCTTCTATTTTCAGTGCTTGTGATGGCAGAGAGGGAGAGAAAATGTCTTCTTGTAGCTTTAAAATGCTAATCACTTTTTTTGGCATTTGCCCTTATCCTCTGAATAGAGAACAAGAATAGCCAGATTTCTACCTAGTCCAGGTTTGCTTTGGGTGATCACCTGAAATTAGAAGCATTGTAGACAGCCTTGACAACAATGCAGTGGAGATCCCCCACAGTTCCTACCAGTCCCAGAATGCAGTGTTTCACCGTGGCCAAGCAGCCAGATGTGGATGGCTTGTACCAGCAGCCTAAGGCTCCTTTGGTTAATTTTGTCCTTGGACAAACGATGAAAATCTTTTGAGACTTGGTGCAGGCCAAGGGAGAGGCTCTTCTTTTCAAGCTGGGCTCACCCCATGATTGTTAGTATAACAAGATCAGGCAAACCAAGATCAGTGTGACTCACTTCCTTTTGCATTGCAGATAGGATCTGGGATGGGCTAACACTTGTTCTGATAGCTCTCCCCATTTGCTATCAATGGTTCCTCTTATAGCACAGATCTGTGGTGAGAGCCCTGGCATTGTGTTGCTAGAGCTCAGGCTGGGGTATGGTCTGATGACAGGGCTCACAAGAGGCTTGCAGAAGCTGGATCTGTTGCCAAGCTGGCAACTGCACCAGCACAACAGTCCTTTCCCCTCTTGCATGGGGACCTTAGTCTCCCTGTTCACATGTCACACTGCAAACGGAACTTGTAGGTTCAGTTGCTACAGGCCAAGCAATGGTTGTATTATTTCATGTGTCTCCTGAGCTGACACAGTTGCTCAGGCACTGCTGCTGCTCACCTCTGGAGCTAGCTCCAGATCCAGCCCAGAGGGCCAAAGAAGTTTAACATCCCTGACTTGCAGCTTTCTACAGGTGAGAAGCACCTCCAAGGGCTGGACCTGCAGTGGCAGGAACTTAGTTAAGTTAAAATATGCTCAGAAGACCATGCAATGTGTTGCAGAGGAAGGCATCCCCTCCTCTTGCCCCATTTCAATGATCCTTGCTAGTCTGAACAAAGGGGAAAATTTCTCCCTGATCCCAAATTCATTTGAACCTGTGTGCATGAGCTTATCCTCACTCAGTAACTCGATCCAGGAAGAGCACAGGCCATCTTCAGATGGTTCCTCATCCTGACAACGGGTGCGTGCGCCCAAAAGCTTGCTAAGAGAATTTTTTCAATTGCAGTATTCTAATATTATAAAAACCTTAATCTGTCTCTCTGTCTGTCTATAATGCTTTATTTGCACTCTGGTTGGCTGACTGAAACAGTCAATCAGAATGCGAAGAAGTGCTTGGACAGGAGGTGGATGCATGGCGCAGCGCTGTCATGATGGCAGGGACACGGGATAGAGCAGAGGGGGGCCAGGCCAGCACAGCTGGCCTCGCTCCTCCCCGCCCTGCTCCCTGGAGGCAGCGGCAATGGATTGGGGGGTGGGGAGCAAGGCCACTGGAGCTGGCCCAGCCCTCCCCTTTGCTCCTTGGAGGTGGTGGGAGGGTGATAAGTGTGGTTGGGACCCTGCAGTGGGGGCGAGGCCACCAGGTCTGGCCTTGGCCTGCCCCTCCCCCCTTCTGTTGTCACTCTCTGCAGGGCCGACATGGGGGTGGTGGGGAGAGGAGCGGGCCTCTGCGGGGAGGGGAGGAGTGGGTTCGGGACCAATGTGGGGAGAGAGGGAGGAGTGGAGCCCGAGGCGGGGCAGAGAAGCTGGCCTGCCACGGGGGTGGGGAGAGAGCAGTGGGCCCGGCCTGACTAGATGTGGCTGGGGAAGGGGAGGAGCAGGCCTCTTTCTCCCCTCCGGCCCAGGCCCACTCCTCCCTCTCCCCTGTGTCAGCCGCTAGCCCTCTCCTCCTGTCCTTCTGCTGCTGCCGAGTCGGCCGAATTCTAATATTATAAAAGCCTATGTCTTTCTGTCTGTCTTTCATGCTTTATTCTCACTCTGATTGGCTGACGGAAACAGACAATCAGAGTGCTCCAAGCATGGGGGAGCACCGCCATGGTTCCAAAGCCACGCCAAGGACTGGGTGGGGTGGGGGAGCCGGAGCCAGCAGCACTGGCCTCTCCTCCTCCACCCCACTCCCTGCAAGAGGCACTGCAGCAGCATGGGCCCTTAGATCGGGGCAGGCAGTTATTTTGGGCAGAGGGCTGCTTACCCAGTTTTGGCAGGCTGTCAGGCCGCATGGGTAGCCCCACCCCTTGACAGGTGCCCCGCTCCTGGTCACCATCTTGGGACCAATGTCGCAGGGCCAGCGCTGGTGGGGCAGAGGCTGGCAGGGATCTGTGGAGCCAGGCTGGGCTGCACCAGCAGGGAGTGGGGAGCTGGCCCAGCTCCATAGAGCCCCTGCCGGCTGGGACCCCATGCTCCTGCCACCCTGCTCTGGGGCCCACTGGCACTGGCCCCGGGACACCCGTGCAGGCCCCGTGCTCCCACTGGCTCCCCGTGGTACAGGCGGGGGGCAGCGCACAGCCCCTCCCCACCCCATGCCCGGCACCCCCCACTGTCTGTCTGTCTGTCTAATGTTTTATTTGCACCCTGATTGGTTGTCTGGCAGCCAATCAGAGTGCAAATAAAGCATTACGGACAGGAGGTGGCGGCAGCACAGCGGAGTTTGGAGGCGTCCTTGGAGGCGGCAGCGGGTGGTGTGGGCCCGGACCCCAGGCAGTGGTGAGGAGAGAGGGAGCGGCCCCAGGCCCAACGTAACAAGGGGAGGGGGACGGGAGGAGTGGCAATGGTGTGGGGAGGGGGAGGAGACAAGCGGGCCTGGGCCTGACACGTGTGGGGAGAAAGGAAGGGAAGAGTGGACCTGGGCCTGACACAGCAGGGGTGGCTGTGTCAGGCCCCCCCCCGGTCAGTCTTGATGGGCAATTTGGTAAGTCCTTCATATTCATCTTCTTGGGGCTCCTGTTCGTCTCCAACTTTCCGTATTAGGATATGAACAGACGGGCAAACTTGTACCAAATCAAAAGGCAGTAGGAATGAAACAGGACTAAGTTACCATCCACTGCAGGGTAGGAACACACATACAGACAGTTACCACATCAGCTGCTCTACAGTGAATTCCCTCTCCTTTTAACTTGCTCTAACTTGTCTGTCCATCTGTCTGTCCATATATGGATTGTTGCCCAAAGAACCCTACAGACATATGATGAGCTAGGAGTGCTGTTGTTCTTGCTGTCTTTCCCCCCCTTCCCCAGCTATTGTAATTTTGTGTGCGAGCAAAGAGGAAAAAACCGCTGAGTAAAAGCAATGACTCCGGAATGACCCTGCCCGAGTTTGCGGGCTGTCAATTTATGGGCTAATCCATATTGCTTGCTACTCTTTCTCCCAGGGTAAAGTAACCAAAGATAAGCCATGACAGCACTTTTTTTTTTTTTTTAATTATTGATGTTTAGTTTGTCTGCTTGACGTCAGCCCTGCATTTGATGCAGTTAAATCAATAGAGTCCTTGAGCCTGAGCTTTCCCGCTAGAGCCATGACATGTACAGCAATGGCTTCTTTTCAAAGATTTGAAGTGTCATTTGCCCTATTATTCAGGGAAATGCAACCTCTCTTTGGCAGGGTCTTGGGGTGGTTCTGGGAAACTGCATGCAGGCCCCCTAGGGCTGTGAAGCACTGCACTCCTCTGGGCCACAGATCTGAACAAGCTTCAGTGCAGTTGGCCTTCGCTATAGGGCAGTGGTGTCCAACCTTTTTATGGTGAAGATCAATATTTGTAAATAAAGGGCACCCCAGGATCTACCACTCCTGCCCCTACCCTGCATCCCGGACAAGCCGCCCAGGCTCTGACCCTACTTACCCAGTCTGGCCCAGGCGGCAGTGGGTGTGACTCAGCCCAGCCAAGTGCGTCCTGCTGCTCCCAGTCGTGGAGCCTCTGACAGACTGAGATCAAAGGTCAGAGGCTCCACGATTGACCAGTTCATCGAGATTGACTGGTTGGTGACCACTGCTATAGGGGATGGTCATAACCCCATCATCTGACCCCAACAGTCTTTCCCGCCCAAGCGCAGGGAGGCTGGACCTGATGATTTCATGAAGTCCCTTCCCACCCCTAACATCTATGAGTTTACAAATCTGTGAGAAGCACCTGGTGTTCAGGAGCCTTATTAATGATTTTGGTTTGCTGTTCTTGCAGGATGATGCTCGGCAACTATTTGCGCTCTCTTGCACTGCAGAGGAGCAGGGAATCATGCCGGAGGACCTTGCCAATGTGATCCGGAGGCTGTGGGCTGATAATGGAGTCCAAGCTTGCTTTAACCGTTCCCGAGAGTACCAGCTGAATGACTCTGCTGCATAGTAAGTACCTCTCCTTCATGCCCAAGCCTGATGGAAACCAGGGCTAACAGGTGCTTCACACAATGTGTGTCAAATGCCAGCTTGTGCTGAGCATGAAAGCCAAGGCTGCATCACACTCAAGGTGGCTTTCTGCCTATGATTGGAACACAGCCCATGCACATCATCCTACTCCATGAATAAAAATTTTTGTATGAAATTAGCACGATTGCTTTGACCAACAATTGCCATGGTGCCATATCATGAGACTGCTAGCTTTGTTGGGTGATGCAACATGGCATGCGTTACAAAGACCTTTTAGATCAGAGCAATGTATAGCTGTTGAGTCAGAGGGGTGCTCTTAGCAGACACTCCCAACATCCATGTGAGGGACATGAAGGATACCAGTTTCACATTATAGAAGTGTTTTGCCTTGCTCTGTTTCACTGTTTTTGTTAGTTGCTACGGAACTACAAAGGGGTTAATACCATCAGCCATAGATTGCATGTATGCAGAAAAGCATACAATAGCTTTCAGACAATATTGAGAACTGTTGTGAGACCTGTCTGTAGCCATCTCTAGTAAGCCTGTCTGTGAGGCCAGTCTGCAGCCATTAGTCTGGCTATGAACAGAAAACTGAGTGGTAGAAAAAGGGGCAACCTCTGAAGAGCAGAATCTGAGTGAAAGTGGCAGAGGCTGCAGGGGTGCATCTGCTTCCAGTTCCAGATGTGGGATGCCTGGGATAAACTGGGCCACCTAATTTCTAGGTGAGAGAAGTGCACACGTGGAGCCCAGAGTGTTTTAACACCCCCTCCCCTTTGCTGCTGTTGTGCTTTATTCCTCCTGTTCAGATTAAATGATACTTTGTTTTGAAAAGGCTCTTCAATGTCTCAGACAAGGTTCCTTGGGTGAATCTGATATCTTTTATTAGACCAACCCAAATAGTTGGAGAATAGTTATTAAGCAAGCTTTCGGGTTCAAAAACCCTTCGTCACACTAAGGAAGTTTCAGCAGTTGGTGTGTGCTCTTCCTGGAAGACACCTTGGAAGATTATTGGGTCCAGCCCCCTGCACAAAGCAGAAAAGATAACTGGAGTCAGGTGACCCCAGCAGGGTGACTTTCTAGTCTCCTCTTGAAGATTTCCAGTCTGGACACCCTGACTGAAGCTTTTCCTAATGTTGAGCCTGAATCCGTCTTCCAGGCGTTTGTGGCCATTACTCCTAGCTTTCCCCTTGGGTACCCTGGTGAACAGTTGCTCACAGAGTGCTTGATGTACTCCCCTAATCTTAGCCATCTTTTCTTCAGGCTGAAGAGTCCCAGATCCCTCCGCCTTTCCTTGTATGGCTTGCCATGTAAGACTCTGATCATACAGGTGGCTCTTCTTTGGACTCTCTCAAGCTTGTCCATGTCCTTGTTAAAGTGTGGTGGTGCCCAGAACTGGATGCAGGTCTCACCAGTGCTGAGTAGAGTGGAAGAACTGCCTCCTTGGTTTTGCTGGAAATGCATTGATTGATGCATGCCAGAGTGTTGTTTGCCCTATTGGCTACATCATCGCGCTGCCGGCTCATATTCATACTGTGGTATGAATCTTGAACCCTGGGGTGGCAGCTTTGCAAGATTCCGCCCTGGGGAGACATAGGTTGTAGGAGGTGCTCTTGGACTCAGTCATACTGCAGCTGGGCCGGAACCCTGATGGCTGGTTTCTTAATCACTAGGCCTGTGCGAAGTGGCTAGTATTCACTTTGGATTCGGATTGGGCCAATTCAGGGGACAGTGATTCGATGATTTGAATCACTGTCCCGAATTGATTTGGCCAAATCAGATTCGGAGATTCGGCCACTGCCAAATCATCCGAATCTCTGAACTGGACAGGCCCCATCCCCCGCCCAGTCTCCCAGCCCCATCAGTGGTGGTCTCGCCTGGCCCCAGCTGCAGGTTTTTGTTTTTTTTTTAAAGCCCCCACTCACTGGCTCCTGCTGGGAGAGGGGGGGCGCGATCCCCATGCTGTGTGGGGGGCTCTGCCATGAGCCCCCAGAAGCCCTGAGGCCACTGCAGTAGCTGGTCAGGGCAGCCATGGGGAGGGGC